TTGAATAGTGTTGATGTAAATTACTTTTAGCTGTGTTTCTTTTTTCTTATCAGGGGCATCCACGGGCTGGTGGTGGTAAAAAGTCAAGATGGCAGCTGCAACTGGATTACTTTTTACGTGAAAAGGGTGGACTTCATCTCTCTCTCTCTCTCTGATATATAATATAGGCTCATGATGGAGATCAGAGTTACAATGTACTAGAGAAAAAAAGTATAATCCTTTCTGCAACCCCCTTTTGGGGAGGGGAGGTTTAAAAAGAAATGAAAACAATGGAAATACCGCTGCCTCATTTTCTGGCTGACAGCTGCTTACAGTTGTAAGGTAACCATTAATCCAGATGATATACAGAGCCAAGGTAGCCAGGAACAGACTATCAATATAGATTGTGGTTCAGGCTCTCCACCATAATTACAATCTTGACAATGGTCTGGGTTCAGATGATAGGACAAATCCAACCACAATATGACAATATTGAGCAAATGACCCTGTGTGACCCTATATTTAGAATGCTGGGTGGAACTGGAATACTCAGGTTCAAATGTTCAATCAACTATGATGCTGACTGGATGATACCAGCCTGTTACTTTTTATTAGAGTATCTGATAGGTTGGTAGAATAAAATGGAGGGTTATGTGTGCTGTTATTGAGCATCTTTCAGAAAATATGGGATATAAATGGTAATTAAATAATTAAACAATAATCCTCAGCACCCTTCCATCTTACCAAATAACTAGCCACAAGATTTACTGGGTAAAGCTATGACATAATCTCAAATCATACATGATTATGAAGATCTGTGCCTTGAGTAATAACAGTCAATCTGCAGAATAACTGGATGAACCTGCCACAAAGAGAATGCTAAAAATGTTGGTGCAATTCGCTCCACATGTTGTTGTAGCTAGATGTGCTTCAGAAGCGTGTTGTTAACTCATTTTGCAGCTTAAGGTCTTTCTTGTAACTCATCTCCTTTCATGCCAAATGTATTCCCACAAATATCTTTCAAACATGAATAGTTTAAACAGTATAAAATGCTACCATGTGAAATAACCCAGTTCAGGATGAGTGACAAGCAACAGCCAGCTGTACTCAAATTCATTCTTCCTCCTTCTGTCCTTCAGTTTTCTTGTGTTCTGAACAGTCATTCCGCATTTCTTTGTTGCCGAGAATGTTTGATTTTGATTGTTTGTTTTGATCTTTTTGTGGGAGAGGATAATTTTGCAAATTATATAGTTTCCATGAATTTGCTGATACCACTATTTTTTACATAGAAGATGCAATTTTCTCATCCTCACTCAGAGAATATTACTGTTATTTTATGCTGAGAAACCATCCACGTAAAACAAGCAGAGGAAAAGATTAATCTTGCTGTTCTAAAAACTGTTGTACACAACCTCTCTATTTATGTAGAGAGTAATGGAGATGGCCTTGATAGAAATATGCAAGAACTGATACTTCGGTAAAGAGGGCTGAAACATTCTTTTAGTCCTGGGAAGCAAGATAATATCCGAAAGTGGCTCAGGCAAACACCTCCCTGATTCACTGGGGTATCCAAAGGAGGGGATGTAAAGCACAATCAGACTTGCCAGAGTCTGTTATTACAGCCTAACTCAATAAAGTACAGTCCTGGCCAAAAGTTTTGAGAATGACACAAAGATTAATTCTCACAAGGTCTGCTGCTCCAGTGTTGGAAGATCTTCGTGCAGATGTTACGATGGTATACTAAAGTATAAGGACAAGCATTGTGTAAGTGTCAAAGGCTTTTATTGAAATTACATTAAGTTTATGCAAAGAGTCAATATTTGCAGTGCTGACCCTTCTTTTTCAAGACCTCTGCAGTTCGGCCTGGCATGCTGTCAATCAACTTCTGGGCCACATCCTGACTGATGGCAGCCCATTCTTGCATAGTCAATGCTTGGAGTTTGTCAGAATTCGTGGGCTTTTCTTTGTTCACCTGCCTCTTGAGGATTGACCACAAGTTCTCAATGGGATTAAGGTCTGGGGAGTTTCCTGCCCATGGACCCAAAATCTCGATGTTTTGGTCCCCAAGCCACTTAGTTATCACTTTTGCCTTATGGCAAGGTGCTCCATCATGCTGGAAAAGGCATTGTTCGTCACCAAACTGTTCTTGGATGTTTGGGAGAAGGGGTTCTTGGAGGATGTTTTTGTACCATTCTTTATTCATGGCTGTGTTCCTAGGCAAAATTGTGA